TTACAGAAGCAGGAAATTTTCTGTAAGCACCAAAGATATTTGGTGCCTTCAAAACATTTATTAGCCTGTTTAGTGAGAATGGAAAGGAAGGACAATTCATCCTTCCTTGGAAGCCATGAACATTTTTCCCTTGCAGGAATCAGCCCTTTGAACAGATCTTCTCACTATTAAAAACTGATGGAAGACTTGTTGCCTGGATGTGAGGCAAGTTGTCATCACGGTGAAGTACGCCACGCCCGAGGCACCTGTCTCACTCCCTCTTGCAGATGCCATATTTTCTATCAACGCAGCAATAGGCTTGTCCTCATTGAGTCTACACCTTTTAGGCTTGTCCTCATTGAGTCTACACCTTTTTTCCACTTTGCCCTACCCTATAGCTTAAATTTTCCAATTCCCTATTAAAAAAGACTGTTTCTGAAGGATATTAGTGTACAAGTTATTCTGTGAACTCCAAAATCCAGAACCTAAGGGAATTGGGATCTCAGGAAAAACTGAAGGTAAATCATACTCATCTAGCTAAATCCTCTTTTCCACACTATGCTGGGTTCCCTGGGAGCCTGTACAGTTGTCTCTAGGGGAAAATGAACAGAAAAAACACTGCAAAATACCTCTGGTGCTTTCAACTCGTGCCATTTTCAAAACCTGAATAACAACTAAATGCAGACAATCCCTAAATTTCAGTCAAAGCCATTGGGTGATAGTGTCATCCACGAAGGGCAGTGCCAGTGCCATGGCCCATGGACCACGTGTGCTCAAGAAAGTGAAGGGAAGGAGGCTCGTCATGCTGAAGTCATGCAAGTTCATTCATCCTTCTCAGAGGTACGTGCAGAACTACTAAAACACGGATGGTTTGAGCTGTAAAGTGTTACATACTCACAAAGGTGGTATTTGCATTGGGAAAACCAACACGTTCGTTCAGGTTTATCAGATTACCAATTGAAAATCTGGCTGCTTACAATGACAGCTAGCCCAGCCCCTCTCCCACCACCACTGGTCCTGCAAAACTGCACTCTCTTGCTTGCCACCAGCCTCACATAGAGCTTTGGATAAATCACTCATCTGCTTTCTGTGCTGGCTCCTAAGTAAAATTGGAAGGCCCTTAGCACATTACAAAGGTGAAATAAGAAAAATTACACTCCTAGATGTACTGGCACCATGACAACAGGATTGTACAAGCACCAGAAGATGACAGTGAAGTGTTTCTGCAATGAGTGTTGACCTAGCTTCACAAAACCACCTCCATCACTGCTGTTCCAATTACCCATTTAACTCTGCTTGGTAAAGAGAGAAGGGGAGAGGGAGGGGATGCACTAGGAAACAACAGAGTACTGGATCGAAGGGACCCTCACCATGTCAGGTTTCTCATAATCACACACAGCATAACACAGCTTAAATGCAGCTTGAGACATCTCTCCACCATAAGATGTGTCCACAGCTCTGGCAATGGCAGACTGCAGATCTGCAGTAGTACAAATTAAATTAAAAAAACATCAAAAAACTCTCTTGTTTGGTAATTACTAAAAGAAAATTCAATTTAAGAAAATTGGAGTAGTAATTTCAGAAGAAAAAGGGCAATATTTAAAGCAGGTGTCAGAGAAATACACATTATAAGCTAAGGTCTGCTTTGATAAAGACAAAATTAATTTTATGACTTCTTCTGATACCAACAATACAGGACACTTGATGCTACTGAAGCCTGTCAAATTAGGGCTGGTATCTTTTACCTACTGAAATCACCAGCTTTTCACTTGCTTTTCCCTGTCAGAGGGCAACCAAAAAAGTCCAGACATTTTCTGAATGACTGTCCATTTTTGTAGAAGGCAGCTTCTACCACACACAGCGACTACAGGATCAGGAAAATAAGGCAAGGACTGGACTATCTGCATAATCATCTGTCCCCTTCTCCATGTGTTGAAAGTAACTGCAGCCTCGTGAAACTCTCTTTGCAAGGGGTATCTCTAGTAAACACACAGGAATGTGGTGTATGGGGTGATATAAAGAACATTTCACAATATATGAGCTACTGAAGTTTGAGGAGGTTTGGTTCTCCCCCATGTGAGAGGAAAGGGCATGCTTTCCTCTTGAAAATGATACGAGCTAGCGGTGGAAGAGTTAATAAAAAAAATCTCAAGAGAAGCAGGCTACCCAATGGAGTTTTAAATCTTAAGTAATTTTTCTCTGAGGCAGCATATACACTAGCACTATATTGAGCATAAGTGCCCAAGGTCAGTCCTAACAACATCTGTTAAAGATGATTCCTAAACTCTGTTCTCTTGAGATGCACACATAGTCCCTTCTGCTGCTGAGCCAGCACTTGGGTAAACCCTCTCTCTGTCCACAAAGAATAATTTGAAACTGTAAGGAGTAACCCATCCAACCAGACAGAGGTAGGCTGGAATTGCACACAAGTGCCTGATTAAATTATTAGTTCCTTTATTATGCAACTGATGTGTTCTTTTAGGAGATGGTCATATGGCAGACACCACCATTCACCAAGGGCTCGGTGCACTGAGCCACCAATGAAATGTCAGTGGCTGAGGAAAAGTTTTCCCCAGCGCTAGAGAACCCATAGAGTCCACTCCCTTCCTCCAAGCAAAACATCGCACAAGGTGCATGGGTGTAGGGAGTGAAGCTAAGGAAGTTGGACCTGAAAGGACCTGGACAACAGCCCAAATATGGCTAGAGGAGTTGAAGCACCTGGGTTCAGTGTTAAGAACTGACCTTTCAAACAGTAGAGGCATCACTCAGGGCATCAAGGGAGAAATAGATTTCATCCACCAGGCGTAGCTTTGGTCCAACCATACCTTTTCTGATCTACTTGCCCAGAGCTGATACCTTCCCCATCACTTGGACAGCTTTCACTTGTGGGGCACTCGTGGGGCTGAGGCAGGGAACATCTACAAAATTAAACTGATCATTCTGAGAGAAGAAATGGAGGCAGTAACAAATCCACCACTTCAGGTAGGAGAAGAGCCCTAGGTTTTTGACTCTATATCTGCAGATAAACGGGGACAGTTTGCCTCAACGCAGCCAACTTCTCTGGTGCTACACTGAATAACAACACATGAAAACTGATCCAAAATTTCCTAGGTAATGCAGAACAACAAGCTCAGGAGACTGGATCCTATTTCACCATGTGCTCACTCCTTGTCTTCCCCCTCCATAACTCTACTTGCAGAGGCATTATATTTGATTCATAAAGAAATGGAAGATAGAGCCATCAAAGCTATTAATTTAATTGCAAAGGCATTGTGGCAGTTGTTGACGTTTTCCTACCCACATTCAGATCATTAAAAAACACACAATCCCTACTGTACATTTGGTACTGAGCAACCTCAGTACTGAGTTATTTTACATCTTGTACACAGGGTCGATTAACACCTTGGGGCATAATACTAACATATTACCTTTCTCACAAGGCATTTCAAAATTCCTCTTTGTTTTATATGCAACAAAGGCTACAGAGGGGTACTAGGTAACAACTACTGCTTTACCAGTCTAGTCTCCAGAAGGAATGGCATATCTCATGCAAATCACAAATCACAAGGAAATACAACATGCTATGATAAACTGAAAGCAATCTCCCCTCACCCTCTCAATGAACAGTGTCAATTCTAAAATGAAAGACCTCATTTAGAGTGGAATAACTCCAAACTGTAATTTGGAGAATATTCTGCTCACTAGGGCAGACCATAAGCCCCTGATGTCACTCTTTCCATGGTTTAATAGCTCACTCCATAAAAAGTATTCCATCATTGAAATTAGAAGCCTCACATTTTTGTTTAGAAAAAAACAAATGTGGACATGCTGAGCCTCCCGCCAGCAGAGAATCCAAGTCCCTCAGCCAAGAGGTCCCCTTTGCTCAGAGAGGTGGCCTAAGCTGCATACCTGGCCTTGCAGTTTCTCAGAAGTCAAACACTATGCAGCCTTCCCAGATGGCAGAAGTAGGCAGGTGGCCACCTCCTGCATGAGGGATGGGGACCACCCAAAGGGCTGTGAGATCCTGCTTTCCCTCTGGACAGTGTGCCTGTCACTGCTCAGACACGTTTGCTTTCCTGCAGCCCATGCTCGAGGCAGCGAAGAAGATGATCTTAGTCCTCGAGCCAAATCCTGGGTTTCAGCAAACTGAAATTTCCTGCTGCTTTCTCAGTACAACACTGTGGGTCAAAAGCATCCATTTCCATACCTGCTTTTTTATTTTGAGAGGTGTGCTATAAGCTCTGGCCCGCTCAAACAGAAAACCTAGAAATGGTGTTGTTATTCACTGCTCAGCTCTTTACAGCTGCTAACAAAAAGTGCACTCCTAGTATTGTCGTTATTTCTTTTCTGAGGTAAGACCTTTTTGACAGTAGGACTGTAACTGCGTTTAACAAATTCGGTTTCTACAGAAAGCAAATTCTGACGTACACTTAACTTTTTGCATCTCTGAATTTCCTGTTTGGCACACACTGCTGTAATCTCAGATGACTGCCTCAAAAACGGATTGCCTGTAATTTGCCTTCATAACCATGGAAGCTTATAAATTAGTATATTCTACCATCAAACATCAAATTTCCCAAAATGTTAGCTTTCTACCTCCCTGGTGATACAATACCATATGTAAGGCACTTATCAAATGTCACCAATTACACGGACATAGGAAAGCTGAAGCGCACTGCTGTATGATCACAATCATAAACCTCTGTGAAGAGCAGCTGGAAGCTAGCAGTAGTCCTCTGGTCTGCTTTCTCTAATGGGGTTTCCCAAGTGTTTTCCAAAAGATGATATGTTACTGTTAAACTGCACAGCACAGAAAATATGGGGCATTATTAGAATATTTTTAATCTAAGCGCAAACCTTGCACAGAGAACAATTTTTCATATCTTATCAGCTCAGTCTTACTTGATGCACGTGGTTTGGTTTACTCGCCCTTGGGCAACAAGAGACAAGCTCAAGGCTGGCCCAGTCTCCATAATAAATCTCTTTTAAAGAAAGAAATGCAAATATATCAAGATACATACTGTAAGGTACACATTCGTACTGCACTTCCAGGTACTTGTATGTCCCAGGGCATGGGTCTGGAAACACATCAGGGCCAGCAACAACTGCACACTGGGTCCGATTACTGCACCTGAAAAGCAACAAAAATGAGAGTCAGAAAACAGACCGGACAGAGGGACAGATCAAGAAGCTGAGTGGCCCCTCCAGTGTTAACAAGGGTGAAGATGCAGAAGCCAGGACTTCAGCATCAGCTGGGGAAGCTCATCAGTGAGCATGGAAAGGCTGGTGGCAAATACCAATGTCTTCATCAGCTTACTGCCAAAAGAGAAGAGGCATGGTGGTACAACCCTTCCCCTCCAAGCAGTTCTTACAGCACCAGGAGCCATTTCTTTAAAACCAAACTGAGAGGATGAGTCAAAAATATGTCTACAGGTACATAATCCTCTAATTCTTGAATCCCAAACTCCATTACAGTGACCTCAATTAACCTTAAATACCAGCATCTGCACCAAACAAAACGCAAAGACTAAGCCAACAACAACGGTGGCAAAAAACAATCACTGTATATTTTACAGCAGACATAACAATATGTTTTACAACATGTTTATAAAGCGTTCCTACAAAAACAGTTATCTTGTATAATACTGTTTAATGCAAAGCAAAGACTAGAAACAGCAACACTTGACTGGGAAAAAAAAAATCACCAAATAAAAGCTGTCTAAAATCCAAAATAATGTTTTTCGTACACAGCCTGCTAAGGAAACCTCCCAATCTGACCATTCACAAGACAACATACTTGCATTAGCTACAAATGGCTAAGTTTTATTCAATCATTCTGCCCAGCATGCCCGCATCTCCTGAGATGACATACTTTTTCCAAAAAGCAAGCACTGATCTCCATGAAGAAGACACACAGAAGGAGGTGACCTTGGCTGCTGCAGTGAGCATCTTTCAGGTTAAGAGCACAAATACAGAGGTTGGATCCTGCAAGATGCTTTTACTGAGGCACATATACATGTCCATGGGTGACTGATTTGTGCATGTGTAGAAACCCACATTTGCCTCTGCTTTTGTGGTACAAGCACCTCTATGTACAATTTTAGTGTAATTTGGGTATGCAAAAGCATTTAGCAAACAGTGATTCTATAGACAAAAATCCTCTGCCTCTCTGTTCATTTAAAGAAAAGAGAAAAATATAATTAGTCTTTGATTTTTATGCTTTTGCGTGCCAGAGAGAGACTTCCCAAGGGCTAGACCACTGCCTTTACTTCCTTTAAGATTTTGCCTCCTCTGACGTGACATGGGACCCCTGACCCTCCTGCTCTTCTAGCAGAAGCTGTGACATCCAGCACAGAATTCATTTAGAGTTGCAGTGGAAATGCTTCATGTTTACCTGAGGCTACAGTTTGTCAGCCTTAATGCGGATTTTATTTGAGCCCATAAATTAAAATTGATTCATTAGTGACTGCCTTAAGCTCCATAATTTCTTTAATTTTATGGAAAGATTAATAAGAGCTGATACGCTTGCTCATCAGGCTGTTTTGCTGGATAGCAGATAATCCAGAGGGCTGGGACATTCTCGTGTTTTCTAGTTGAAAGACAGCACTTATCACAGCAAGTGGTTACTGTTATCATACGCACAGAAAAATAATTTTCTTAACAAAAAAAGTAACTTTGTTGTCCTCGCCTATGCTACTCACAGACAAAAGGCCTGGCTGGGACATCACAGGTAGCTTGGACTGTGCAAGTGGGCAGTCTTCCAGGAGAGACTTTGAACATCATCCAAAATTTCACTTTCAACAAAAATCCTTTACTGGGCTCAATGTGCCTTTCAAAAAGCAATTGCAGTGGCCTAATCAATAGCCTTTCTGGCTGAAGAGACAGCCCTGGCCACGTTACATAGAATAATGGTAATGGATCAAAGATACCTTTCAAAATCACAAGTAAGAAAGCACAGTTATGAGGGACTGGAAGTTGGAGGGAAACAAACACATCTAGGGTTCATCTGTGCATGTTTTCTTTCTGTCTGCAAGGAAGTATTTGCTTTGAATAGTCAACCATTTCCTTGCATCCACTTTTTTTTAATGCAAGAACTTAGATAGAAGAAACAGAAGTGAAAATGTGCAACCTAGAAAGCTCTAGATTCATAACCAGAGTTTCAAAACTCGGCTTGGAAGTTGAAGGCTGTGAACATCAGTTTTAACCTCCCCAAATACATGCTACCTTCTGCAATATCACCAGAGAGACTAAAACCATAAGGATACAAAGGGTAGAGCAGGGAATGCAGGGTACTGCTATAGGCTTTCCCCCCCAACTCTAGAATATCCTGAAGCTCCCTTACATAACCCTAGAATGGGGTTCTATGCCTACCAAGCAAAGAAACTTGAAAAGAAGGTGAGATCAAATTGTCAGTGGCACCTTGGGGAAGAAACACAGAAAACCAAATGAAAAACTCCTAAATAAAATCTCAAATACTGTGTTCTGTCAGTACCTCACAAAATTAACAGAAAAAGAGCTAATACAGAAAAAAAAAATCAAAACCAGGAGAACTCAACCTGCTTTTTTTTTCACACTCATTTCATATGGGCAGCAAAACTGTGTCTGGCACAAAACTGTCTCTTATCACCCCAGGGTGAAACCATGCAGGTTTCTCATTCTTAAGGGATGAGGACAATTTAGACTAAAACCCTTAAGAAAAAAGCTAATACCTGTTCAACCAACTATTACTGTCAGACATCAGGCTACAGAAATTTTAAGGGGACAAAGAGGTAAAAACTACTCATCATTAAAGCCCTGGTTTCTCTGCTTTTGCTCATATATTTTAGCACTTTCACAAGAGCTTCTTGGTTCCTTCAATTTTGTCATATTTCTTTCCAGACAGATTAAAGGCCCAGGTGACAGTAAGTGACATGCAAGACATGACATAGAAAAGGAGATGTGTACAAGAAGATGAATCTGTAGTCTTGAAAATGAAGGCTAATAAAACTGTAACATATTCATGCTTACTCCATTCCCAGCAAACCAGACCACGAGTTCTTCTTTTTAAAATCATAGGATTACACACGGAATATTGGGATTTCATGGCACTTGGGTCTTGGTAATACTCACTCCAAACTCCTGGAAGCTGTGACCTTTCAAGTCAATGCAACAAGGATCCCTCGTTCTTTTTTTTTTTTTTTTAGTTTTGGTTTTGTTTTCGGTCATGTCCCATCTGCTATTCCTGTCTTGTCCCCCACCCCTCACCCCTTTTTTTTTTTCCTTTTAATTCTTAACTCCCTTCTTGAAGGAAGATCTTTACTGACTACTGGAGCTAAAATTTGCAGCAAGAACCAGCACTGCACCAGTTTGAGTATAAATCCATCTCCTCTGCTGGGCAATCACAGAAACACCATCCAGGTCTCTTAGCTATACCCCAGAAACTGCAGCTCTCCACCACGTTGGATCCTCCTCCAACAGGGCAGGAACAGTTTGCATTGATGGCTCTAGAATAACTGTACTACAGAAAACTATAGTCACTTCTTTTTTTTTTTTACACTCATCTACACCTCTGATGACTGCCTTTACACAAGCAACTCTTATTTCTAGACTGATTCATCAGTTCCTTCAAAGAAAACTACTTTTCTTTCCCCTGCATTGCCCTCATGCTGCAACTTTCCTAAGCTATCCCTGGCCTTTTGGGATATTTTCTCACTTTCCATATGCTGTGATGCCAAGCAAACAAGAGAACTGTGGGAGGAATCTGGGAATTCAGGGGACCAGATAGACAACTTTATGCCTATTATAGAAACGGCTTTCATTTTATTAGTTTATCTGGCATTTTAATGGGAAATGTTCTGGAAACATGGAAGAATTAAAGTAGCCGCTCAAGCGGTTGGTTTGAGTTCCCTTGTTGCCATCTATCATGAAATCTGACAAGAAATTCATAGCTATCCTTTTTTTTTTTTTTAAATGTGTGTGTTTTATTTTGCAGTCTTTATTTCCACCTGCCACCATTCCTCTCCTTGTTGCTCCCTGAAGTGCAAGGTAGGCACCCGAGTAAAGACCCTGCTTGTCTCAGGTCACCTCCATAATTGCTGCTGGGATTTGTGGACACTTTGCTTGAATCAAGAGTGTCCACACAGCTCACCAAGAGCAATCAAGAGACCACAAACAGAAGCATAACCCAAGATCTGCATTTTCACCCCAACCTGAAACACTGATGGCAACATATATTCCTGTGTGTTCAGGAAAAGATGATACTCCAAACCCTTCTAAAAAATCATTCCAAGGTACTTGGCAGCCTTTAATCTTCCATCATCTCATAAACAGAAGTTCATGCTATTCATATATATGTTTTGGAGACGGAAAAGTGTAAATTATCCCAGTCACTAGAGGAGAAAAAAAAAAGGGGGGGAGGTTTTATTCATTCTTTCCAGCTACATTCATTTCTACTTGTTAAGGTCCCTGTTTTGTCTTTCAGATGTGGAAAAATAATCTAGAAGAGAGGTGTCAATCCAGTGTAACACATACACTGTAACACAAAACATGGATTATTTTTGCAGAACTTCTCCCAGTTCCAGTGGAAAACGACTTTCAAGAGCTTTAATGTGAAGCAGGAATAATATTTCATATGGCATTTGTTTTGCATCTATAGCAGTGGGACTGAAGGAAACATTTGAGTTCAGGACCAGCTGCAGGGCTCAACTCTGCTTGCAACTCTGTTCAGACTTAAACAAAAAACACCACCAAAACTTCATTTCCCTTCAGCAAACTTCCATTTCTTCTCCCTGGCAACATTTTTATGATTTTTAAGCAACAAGGTCATCTTGTGATAGAGAAGCAAAAACATTTCAAGACATAAACAGCTGCTTATTCCTGCTCTGATATCTTTAATTTTTTTTTCAATGCTGACATTGTTAATACATTTAGCAAGAGACAAAGAAAGGAAAAAAGGAAAAAAGAAATAATAGTTTGGCAGTTTATTTTAGGCCTTTCCAGAAACCTTAATAGCACAGGCATGTCAACAACATCAGGCTAGACATGTCTGGGTCAATATGTTTGACAGAACAAAAATGCAAAGGCAGCACAAAATAAAAGATCAATCCCGAACAAAAGCTTTTCAGCAGTAATCATAGCAGGTGCAATACCAGC